CCTACAAATAAGGTAAAACAAATTTAACTAATGTACAATATCTAACAGTCGAAATTCGACAGCACATATAGCACCAAAAAGCAAAAAATGTAGTTACTACTATGCATGGACACGTATAAACAAAAAATGAAAAACCACATCGTAATCGACAGAACAAACAGCCAATCAGACTCTATATTATCTCTATCATATCCCACATCAAAGAACAAGTGCATCAATACACAATCATAACACATATTCAGCGGTAGTCGAAAATAGCCTTAGCGAAACAGCTGTTGCAAAAATAGAAACGAACAAAATTGGAAAATAAAACGAAAGCTATACATCGCCAGAACAAAGTTCATGTAGCTTTCACTTTGACGATATCATGCTTTTGGCAAATAGACTGAAGGGAGTTTGATCAAATTGTAGAACATTGTCTAACGTAACGGATCAAAATAAAGTCTATATTAATGGAAATACTCCAGAGACGGTATACAAAACATTCCTTACTTTGACCGCTCCCAAAATTAACAGTGAGATCATACACACGAGGAAAAGCAAAGTGATTGCTGAAAGTATGATGAGAAAACGACAAATATATATCTAACGGCAAATGAAGCATAAAAATTAGAACTACGATATTAGGTACTTATATAGTTTTCTTTAGTTGTGTATGGTACCAAAGTGTGGATCGTTAGAGGAACAATGAAGCAACAGCTAGTTTGGGATGGGGTATTATACACCGACTCAATGAATTGCATACGTACCTATATGTTCTGGAGTATCTAAGAGAAATAAAGGACAAAGAAACTATAAATATATACAGTTACGAAACAAAGATGAAATGCTTTGGACACCTACTGAGAAGCCAAAATTATGAATCTTTTAGATGAAAAACTATAAGACAACAAACAGAAACAACTGAGATTGACATCCATAAGAAGATAACGTTGACCAAAAAAATATACAATGATAGAGAATAGTCATAACCAAAAACGCAGTTTAGGCTGTATATTCATGATTTTCGGTTAAAATGCGATTGGTTACTATCAACAAAATTTTCCATGCCAGAATGGTAAAAAAAAATGCTAAAATTTTTCAAAATCACCAGAGGAACATGTAATAGAACCAAAATAACACCAAACTCATTCCTCCAGATATTCTGCCACGTGCAAGATTTATCAAATTTTATGGAAAATAATCAGACCAGTTACTATTAATTACAAGGTTATTACCAACAAAAATTTGGCAGCAGTTGAATCATAAGCTTTTTGTTTTTTGAGACAACACAAATAAATACATAAATGATCAGAGCTATATATTTTGGACTAACCGATGCAAAAAAATATACCCTATTTTTAGAGAAAATAAGTTATTGAGAAATACAGTTTGAGCCGTGTGACATTCAGCGCATAGCTTAACATTTGTTTCAACCTCAAGACCAGTTACAAACAATAATTTATCAGTAGATAAATTAGTACACTGTACACTCATTGAATCCCAATAAAACACAGAAAAGCATGTGACTCGTTAAGCATCCCCATTGTTATATTGCACTGCTATCATAAAAATATCGAAGTTACACTTATAGAGGACTAGAATAACCAGAAGAGCTTGTTTTGAGCTCTTAATATTAATACCTTGGGTTAAGATTAGTTTTAACCTCAATATTTGTTACAAACAACAAAAATTTGTTAAACCACACTAACAATTGATTGCGTTTCAATTGTGGTAAACCACTCACAAATTCAATGATCGTACCCATCGATTATAGTGTAAAAAGTTCAGTACCGATATATTTTGAACTATAGACATTCACGGCTTAGGTTAATATCAATTTCAACTTTAAAACCGGCTACAACCAACAAAAATCCATCAGTAATACACCAATATTGAAAAAAAAAAAGGAATGCACAAAGCATATTTAAAGAATTTCATTTCTTCTTCCAGTTAGAGTTGCTTCTATATACCTNTTGAAAGTTTTAATTCTGAGAAATTTCTACTAAACGAAACTATAATAAAACTCTCAAGAGCATAGGTGTCTGTTCCGAAATTGCAGGCATTTAAATTTATTTTCTTTCTATCCAAAGAAATTGTAGGTAGGATTTTCAATTTCCAATTTGCATATAATTTACCAATATTGAAAAAAAAAAGGAATGCACAAAGCATATTTAAAGAATTTCATTTCTTCTTCCAGTTAGAGTTGCTTCTATATACCTTGGGTTAAGATTAGTTTTAACCTCAAGATCTGTCACAAGCAACAAAAATTTGTTAAACCAGAATAACAATTACTACAGTTTTAATTGTTGTAAACACATTTGCATGGAACCACTGACAAATTCAATGATCGCAACCATCTATTACAGTATAAAAAGTTCAGTACCAATATATTTTAGACTGTAGACATTCACGGCTTGGGTTGATATCAATTTCAACTTTAAAACCGGCTACAACCAACAAATATCCATCAGTAATACACCAATATTGAAAAAAAAGGAATGCACAAAGCATATTTAAAGAATTTCATTTCTTATTCCAGTTAGAGTTGCTTCTATATACCTTGGGTTAAGATTAGTTTTAACTTCAAGATTTGATACAAGCAACAAAAATTTGTTAAACCACACCAACAATTGATTGAGTTTCAATTCTGGTAAACACATTTGCATGGAACCACTGACAAATTCAATGATCGTACCCATCGATTATAGTGTAAAAAGTTCAGTACCGATATATTTTGAACTGTAGACATTCACGGCTTAGGTTAATATCAATTTCAACTTTAAAACCGGCTACAACCAACAAAAATCCATCAGTAATACACCAATATTGAAAAAAAAAAGGAATGCACAAAGCATATTTAAAGAATTTCATTTCTTCTTCCAGTTAGAGTTGCTTCTATATACCTTGGGTTAAGATTAGTTTTAACCTCAAGATCTGTCACAAGCAACAAAAATTTGTTAAACCAGAATAACAATTACTACAGTTTTAATTGTTGTAAACACATTTGCATGGAACCACTGACAAATTCAATGATCGCAACCATCTATTACAGTATAAAAAGTTCAGTACCAATATATTTTAGACTGTAGACATTCACGGCTTGGGTTGATATCAATTTCAACTTTAAAACCGGCTACAACCAACAAATATCCATCAGTAATACACCAATATTGAAAGAAAAAGCAATACACAAAGCATATATAAAGAATTTCATTTCTTCTTCCAGTTACAGTTGTTTTTATATAAGATCGACTACAAGCAACAAAAATTTGTTAAACCACAATGACAATTAGTTGAGTTTTAATTGTGACAAACACATTTTCATGGTACCATCGACAAATTCAATGATCACGCCCATCTATTACAAGTGCAAAGTTCAGTACCGATACATTTTGGACTGTAGACATTCACGACTTGGGTTAGTATTAATTTCAACCTCAAGACCGGTTACAACCAACAAAAATCCATCAATAATAAACAAATATTGATGGAAAAAGGAATACACAAAGCATATTTAAAGAAATTCATTTCTTCTTCCAGTTAGAGTTGCTTCTATATACCTTGGGTTAAGATTAGTTTTAACCTCAAGATCTGTTACAAGCAACAAAATATTGTTAAACCAGAATAACAATTACTACAGCTTTAATTGTTGTAAACACATTTGCATGGAACCACTGACAAATTCAATAATTGTGCCCACCTATTACAGTGTATAAAGTTTAGTACCAATGTATTTGAACTGTAGCAATTCACGGCTTGGGTTAATATTAATTTCAACCTCAACACCGGCTACAACCAACAAAAATCCATCAATACTTCATAAATATTGAAAGAAAAAGGAATACACAAAGCATATATAAAGAATTTCTTTTCTTCTTCCAGTTAGTGTTGCTTTTATATTGCCACTTAAAATTGAGTAGTAGAAATTGCTATGTAAAATATATAGAAATAATAAACAAATATAAATATAATCGTCTAACGTATATTCAGTTTTTTATGAGTAAATCCACAAAAAAGAAGAAATTCTCATAAATATGTATAGGTATGTACCTACTTCTATTAATACTTCCAACAATAAAAAAAAACAATAACACATACAAGAGCCTCAATAAAACTCAAATTCCTGCTCTAAAAGTTTCGGGGGCTCTAAACGTTCTCGTAGATTTATAATTTTAAGCCATCATACCAGACAAAATTATGGAATTTCCGTCCAATAATTTAGAGTCTAACCCCCTGTGCAATAGTTTAGTTTTAATATACAGAGATATCCCAATGCAAATTTAATCTCCAACCTAAATTACGTGCACCAAAACTTAACGAACTGACCACTGGTAGCAACTGTCTAGAGATAGTGTTCACTATGCTAAATTACCTACCTAAATGAAACGTAAAGATAAGAAATGAATGATAAAATTAATTTAAAATTAAAAGTCGGTAATGGATTGAATGCAATGATAATGAATTGGATCACTGAATCAGTAATAATAAATACCTACATAAGACAATTTTCGAGTCAAATAAAAACAGTAAATAGTAATACGCCAAAAAAAAAATTCAAAAAATGTAATAAAAGGGGTGTTTGGTCGGACCCACTCCAATTCGATACAAAGAATCAAATTAAACTGGAGTATTTACCAAATAATATAATAAAACGCTTCAAATTATGAATAATTAACTACAACTGCTGTATGCACAACGAATACACAATCATAATACCTACCAAGTAGTTACAAGTACATAATAGGTACCTATATTAAACCAAATTCAGGTCCAGCAAACATCAAAGGCCAAAGACAAAAATTCGGCGATTCATAGAAAGGGTACACAGGAATCAAAAAGATTATATAAAGCGAATGAATGAACTACCGGCTTCAATAATCAGTTGGAGAATTAAACATAAGAATAGCACTTTTTGTTAATAAAACAAAAAATTTTGGTTAAAGTAACTTCGTTATGTTAAATAGCTGGCCGATTGCAAAGACCAAGAAACTAACGAATTATTGTCAAATTTTACTTACTTTCACTCACCTAAAAACACAGCAATACAAACTAGTTATATGTAATAATATAAAATTCTACGAAAACATGCACTCTGTAAACTGAATCTAAACAGAAGTGAACTAAACATTTTGGCTCTCGGGCTTGCAGGAATTTGCGATGGCTTCTTCACGAAGCACTGATGACGCGTAAAACGTTGCGTACATGCATCATGTTGGTTAACTGCGACTCTTCGCGGAAATGTTCTCGTAATTTAACCAATCGCGTAGTTGAATTGCAGTCCCACTCTATAAAATTAAAATGTATGTGTGTTTTGCTTCGTGAGAGTTCCATCGCCTGACCACAACTCTGAAGAAAATGAATAACGAGAGCGAGAGAAACAACAAACGCTTAAAAAACGATAGTAGAGTTCCTTCCTCTCCAATCGAAATTATATTATGTTATTTAAGGAGATAATNTCGACCCTGCGTTATCCTCTGCATTATATTTCTTCCGTCCTGACTTATCTGACTTCCTAGATACCTAAAACCCAGGCATTTCTGCTAATCTTTCACATACTAATCTTTTGGTACCTCTCTGTATCTATTCTTGAGTTGTACTGTCTTTAATGACGTTGATTATGACTTCGGTTTCTGATTAAAAAGTAGCGGTGACAGTGTATATCCTTCTCTGACTCCTTTCTTCTGCATCAAGGGGATGTATCTACGAGAAAAAGACCATACGCGAATAAAATGTCCTGAACATAGCGTTCAATTGTCAAGGAAACGTTTGAGAAGTCAGAGAAATTCCCACTGGAACCATCGCAGATCCTTCATTAAATGGTTAATGTTACTAAATATCAATTAATTGTGTATCTGCTTTATTAATTGAGATATCGTAATAACGCGACTCACAAAACTAAATGTTCCGAGGGTAGATTCTACTATATATGACGTTGATAGATCCCAACTGTTTTAATTGCAGCTATTAGCAAGGTGTTGCGAATTTTATGTAAAAAAACATATCATCACCTTAATTCTGTATAGGTTGAAAACTGAAACCTAAACAATAACTTTTGATTACAATATTTTTTGAGAGTACTTTCGTAGATTAGTTTTTGCAGTTTGCGAAAAATGTTTGAATTTGTATCACTTTTATAGTGGTGCATTAATTTTGACACCAAGTGTCTTTGCTCTAGTCCCAATTCATTGCTCAGTCAAAATGATCGTGTTGATTTAAGACTAACATCGTTAAGGCATATTTTTTACGGGATTTTATACGTATTCCATTTTTATGATAAAATATTAATTGTCGTTAATTTATAGTTAAAATAAAAATAAGTAAACTTCTCCGTGACCATTTAATCTATATTTGCAAAAGAAAAAACTGACTAACTGGTTGATGTTAACCCACCGGGAGGTTTTGAAATTTGAAATCTTCTTCAAAATATGGTTTGTGCGTGAAAACATTATTAGAAGGACATCTAAGTAGTTGAAGAAGGGGGTGGAAAGTAATCTATGTCTAACAAACTCATAAACACCTTAAACTAAAAACAATAAAAGTGGAAAATAGAGATTCCCTTTGTAATATAAGCATCTTACTAAGGGATTTTGCAAATTCATCCATTATTAAGCGATTTAAATAACTTTAATACTGTTGTACGTAAATTGGAAACCTCTGAAATACCTGGAAGATATGAAAATCGTGTCTATTAGAAAATAAAAAAGGAAATACCTTACTGTTTAATCATTTTTTTACAATCCAAGTATCTATCTACTGAAACGTAAAATAGGGAATGAAAGTTTGTTAGAAACACAAAAATTGTTTTTTTGACTCTTATTCAAAAATGAAAAAAAAAGTGACCCATCAGCGTTTAAAAGTGAAAGGAGGGTTAAAAATTTCTGATATAAACAGTATAACGTCAAAGTTCTACTCGTAAACCAACTTTTTTGTTAATTTCACAAAATAAAATGCAAATTTTCAACTGTCTTACAGTAGTGTAATTTATCTATTAATCGCAGCGTGCCAGCGGACCTAAATACGTCAGAGCCTATTTGTAAAATGTAATATTTACCATTTACTTTTAGAAAAATGCATAATCAAATTTTTCTATTGGAACCAAAGAGAAGATAACTAGATAGGCCAGAATGTTGAAGGGATTAGATCCAAGATCTAATATACCATACCCAATGACAGTAATAACGATGTTTATTCGAGTGGCGTTTTGAAATCGTTAAACCTCATCTAAGTATATGTGCTGCTGAAAGGAAGGGTAAAGCATACTGTACTCAATTTGATTTCAAATGGATTTATCCGATGTAAACTAACTCAAGATACAGCTTTAACTGTATATCAAAAATACGTTTAATGTTTTTAAAAATATTTAACTCACATTATAGTTTTTTCATTGTTCTCAACTTTATTTCTGAAACACATTAATTTTTTTTCATTTTTCTGTTTATTGCAAGAGGACCCGAGTAGCACCTCCGTTTTCTTCCTTTATCGAAATTTTATCCTTCTGGTTTTATGATGTTCGCTAGACCCATTTAAAAATGAAAGAATAAAAAAAGTAAGAAAACAAAGAAACTAAGGAAGTCAATAAGAATTAGGCGAAATAGATTGGTAGGACACTTTCTCAGACATGAAGGGTTAGTTAGAGACACATTAGAAACAGAAACAGAAATTTAGAGCTATATTACTGAAATAGGTACCTATTAGAAACGTTGGTTGCTCTAGTTTGACTCGAGAAATGTAGATGCGTGCCCAACCAATCTTTGTACTGGTGATCTTATAATGATAATTGCATGGGTTTTGATAGGAAAACTTCATGCACCGAATGCGTATAAATAAGAGAGAAAATTAGAAATTATTCAGAATTTCTGTGTCCCGAAATAAGATAACACTGCTACTTTAACTGACCATGCAGACGATGATTCTATAATTTTATTCATTTTGCGGTGTATGTTTGGAGCGCGGCGATGTACAGATGTGAAATATGGGGGGTGGGCGCGGCGGAAAAGAAAAGGTTAGAAGCCTTCGAAGTGTGGTGTCATAGGCGAATGATGAGGATACCGTGGATAGAGAAGGTAAGAAATGAAGAGTTTTCAGAAAAAATAAGAGAACAGAGGACTTTATGGAAGTCAATAAATAAATAGGAGAATATAGGTTGGTAGGATACCTTCTCAAGCATGAAGGTCTAGTCAGAGACATATTAGAGACAGAAACGAGAGTTAGAAGGGGTAGAGGTAGGCCTAGATTAGATCACTGTTCGCAAATAGTTACCCGAGATAAAAATGTTCAGTCTCTCATAGTCTCTGAAAGCGAGACTTGAGTATCCTTCTCTCATCGAGTCTCTCTGGTGTCGCTGGGAGAGACTGTCGAGAGACTAACAAAAAAACTGTTTAGCGTTTCTGAACGAGACACTCGAGTTGCTCATAGAGAGATCCTCATTTCGTATCCAGTGTCTGAACGAGAGACTCAAATCTCTGAATTAACAATTTTATCGTTTGAGTCTCTCATACAGAGACTGAAAGATCCATAAAAATACCTAGGCAATAACTGAGAGACTGTGAGCGACGCTCTCAGAGACGCTGAAAGACTCTGAGGCACTGTGGAGAGAGACTGAAAATTTTTGTCTAGGGTAAGGATGTGGATTTTTCTAGTTTTAGGGAAATGCGAAGATTGGCTCAGGATAGGAAAGAGTGGAGGTGCTTGTCCAACCAGTCTTAGGACTGACAACCTTATGATGATAATGAACGAAAGTGTTTTAAAGGAAGCAGGAAATTCATAACCATAGAAATAAAAACAGATGAGTGTCTGTGTGGACACAGTTTAAGGTATTGTCTTTTGAAAGAAATAATTAACAATTAATTTTTGTTGCCTTTGCTAGATGAAGGGAGGTTTAAGCACGCTGCTCAAATTAAATGAAAAATGTGATTGCATCTTAGTCTCCTTTGGTGATTTTTTAATTAAAACTTAATGAAAGCTTCCCAACTATAGTACTTAATGTAAGCAATCACTAATGTTCAAGGGAAGTTCATTGAGTTTTTCGTAATATTAACGGTTGTTACCGCTCGGCGCCTGCACACTCTCGTCGTTCTTTCGGCCTTTTCCTGAGCAGTATAAAGCACGTCAAATATTTCAGTATCACAATGCGGTGTCTGCCTTCTTAGTAGCATTTTCCCCGAGGACTCTTAATAAATCACCGGCTGCCTTCCCTCTCAACTAAACGGATCAAGATTAAAAGCGCATTACAATCGGAATGACTAGGCTTCGGATATAAAATTACCCGTAGACAAAAAAGGTAATTTACATCCCTTTTCGTTGTTTATATTTTCTGATATCGACTACGGCTAGATATAACGCATTTTATATGGACCGATTTCATGGATCTTTGTTTATGATGTTGATAATTCCGCCGCAAATGTGCATTTAGATCTAAAATGCAGTAGTAAACTCGGCCGCTTCGTTCTTTAAACAGTAAAAGTTTATTTGTCGCATAAATTCCCATAATTGCAATATTACTAACACTATATGTTCAGAAATGTAATAAGTAATGAATATACACCCACTGTTTGGTATTTTCCAAGTATATTTGATACCAATATCATTTTTTAGAAGGCGCCGGTATTTTTTGAAATCGGTGCTAGGGATTTAAAGTTCCATGCGGCATTTATAATTATTAATATACAGAGTGTTTCCAAAATAAATGTAAAGCTTCCCGAGATAAAAATGTTCAGTTTCTCAGAGTCTCTGAAAGCGAAACTCGAGTCTCCGTCTCTCATCGAGTCTCTCTGGTGTCGCTGAGAGAGACTGTCACAAAAACTGTTTAGCGTCTCTGAACGAGAGACTCGAGTCGCTCATAGAGATCCTCATTTCGTATCCAGTCTCTGAACGAGAGACTCAAATATCTTAACGAGAGACTCGAATCTCTCAATACGTGGTGTCTCGATAGACACGGTTAAAATATTCTAGGTTCAACATATTTCAGAGATCCCAGTCTTTCTACGAGAGACTCGAGTCTCTCAATTTTTCAGTTTTATTCGTTCAGTCTCTCTGTGAGAGACTCTAATCTCTGAATTAACAATTTTATCGTTCGAGTCTCTTAT